AACAATATGACGTCCATTTTGTTTACAGTTTACCTGACGTCACTTGTCACGACATAAAAGTTTTTTCTTATAAAGCATTGACATCCTTTATAATTATTATTATCATTTAATTATAAATTATAATGCCATATTTAAGTGAATTTAATAGAAAAAATATAACAAACATAGTGCGTATAAGTTAATATTAATCTCAGCGAAGCAAATAAAATCTAGGTTAGAGCCCATTTGATACAAAAATGAATTTGAATAATTTTAAATCTTTTTTTAAACTGATTTAACTATAATATTATCCGATGAATTTAATGATATATGTATACTATATATACTATAAGGAAAATTCTGCAAGTACTTAGGTATTGAGCATACCTGAAGCAGATTGTATGAAACAGACCATGAGTCATAGATAAGGCTATCTCGCTGAGATCACCAACTTACGACGAACTCCGCGGAACGTTTCCATTGTCCATTCAATATACGGAACTCCTTTGTTAAATAAATATTATTTAAATTTAATCTTATAAAATTATAATGTTTTTTATGCAAAGGCTCGTGAAATATTTTGACAATGTCAAACGTTTTTGTTTGTTGGACGAATTGTAATCTTGAGTAGTTAATGGTTTTATTTCACTTACTTTGTTTAAAAGAAAACTGTCAATCAAATCATAATTTATGTCACATCATAATTTTTCGATTTTAAAATGAATTAAATAGAACATGTCGATTATCGTAACAGTTAAAAAAAATTGGTAAGCGTAATTTTAATAATAAAAAGGTAGAATATAAGTTTAATTTTTACAATGATACAGAGAATTGAAAATATAGCAATGTAATATTGCAAAGGTCTATAAACTCTTGCATTAAGGAAACAAATATTTAATGAATTATTCACAATCCTTATATAATGTAACCAAAATAATTATACAAACATTTATAAGAGGCGGTGTTTGAACGCAACAAGTTACGGACAGCTCGAAACACAAAACTCTCAATTGTTTTTCAGAATGATATCCGAAATTCAGACTTAATTTTAAAGCTATTAGGTTGTGTTTCGATTGAAATAATAATGAAAATGTTGCACAATTCATCACAACATTGAATTGTATAGAAAAACATTAGGTAATTTATAAACTTAAAGATTGTATGCGTTGTCTATTCTCATAATTTTGGTAGACCCTAATATTTTTCAGAAAATTCTGATAAAATGTTGAAGTTAGAAGAAATATTAATAAATTATTATAATTCTACGATGTAATAATTTTAAATCAAATATAAAAATAATTATATTTATATCAGATTCCAGATAACTTGTAAAATATATATATTTTTTAAATGTTTTTAATTCCGAAAATTAATAAATAAATGGATTATTTGGACTATGTTATAAATCAAAAATATAGACACGATCGGAATTTGAATATAATAATAATAATAAGTACATATGTATGTTTAAACATTTAATTAAACTAATAATTAACTATCACTAAGAGACGAAACGAAACCTCTTAGCATTCAATGTATTCACCGTGTGGGTACCGGGTCCATCGTTGTAGTGAGAGGAGCTTCAACAGTGACTGGGACTTGCGACCCAGGTGTAGGTTTAAAAAATATACGGATATTAAACGAATAATTTCTTTTTAATTTAATTTCTATTCATATATTTTCACTCTCAGTTCAGTAATGAAAAGTCGAAACTATAAAACGATTGTAATTCTTCATTATCACTAAATGATAATTAAAATAATAAGAAGATTGCAATTTGAATTACAGAAAACTAAAAAAACAGGGATTTTTTTCCCTGCTAGCATTTATTTTCTTATACAGGATACGGAGGTGAAAAAATATTTGGTAATCTATATATATAAAAATGGATTGCTGTTTCTTAGTCTCGCTAAAACTCAAGAACAGCTGAACGGATTTATCTTATCTTAGTCTTGAAATGTTCGTGGAGGTTCAGGGAAGGTATAAAAGCTGAAAAAAATTGATTCATTACTGGGAAAACCATAAAAACAGCCCTTTTCTATTTCCCATACAAACGGTTTTTTTGACATTAGATTTGACAACTAAATAATATGTCAATCATTCTGTCGCACTTCAAAACCCGGAGATTTATGGCTTACAGGTAAACTCCAAAAATATAAATAAAAAAACGTAATAGATATTTCTTGATTATAGGGCGATACGAAGTTCGCCGGGTCTTCTAGTAACAAATAATTATTTTAAATTACAACACTTATTTTTCACACATTACATGACACAAGGATAGTCAGTGGTGGCCTAGGGCGCGGGTTCGATCCTGTCAAGTACTGATGTGATTTTTCTGAGTCATATGTACTTTCTAAGAGTACTTAGACATCACTGATTAATACTGATTCCCAAAAGATGGTTGATATCAGGCAGGCGGTCGTTCGTAAAAACAATTGGCCAAAACTATTCACAACATGTAAAGCAGACACTGGTTATAGCCGGGAAATTGCCACGTAGAAGAATACTTGATGCAAGGATTGATATTGAATATTTAATATATCTTTTTATTGATACATAAATGTATTAATACGGACTTATATGCATAATAAATCCTAGCAGGCTTCCATACAAATTTAAATAAAAACAAAATTATTATTATTAATTTAGTATCCAAAAGGAAATATTTAAAAGATCAATATTTTTTGTTATAAACTATCATCTTTGTTCATACTATAAATATACACCCTGTATAATTGAAGTGGAAGTTCTCTAAGTGACTCCCTCGTCAATGCATTAATTTTAGCTTGCCTTCACCCACATACCATTGACTTTATTTAAACCGATTTTCACTAAACCATAGTTCGCTAACCAGGAGTTAATCTGCGGTTAAAAATTACCTTATGACTTAGGTTAATATTTATTTTAATACGACTAAAATCTAATCTAGTTAGTTTATATGTCTAGAATATAACAAATAAATAATAAAATTAAAATCATGTCAATGGAAAATAAATCTTATGTCACTTATTCAGACATTCCAAAATCGTTTGTATTACAGGAGTTGATTTCCGCGACAAATATTAGTCATCTATCTAACGCTACTGAAACTTCAGTGTAACCACGCTTTGTTGTAATCCACTTAACAAAATATTAATGATTATTAATTGAATGTAACTTCCTTGTTTGTAAGATTCTGTCAAAATTAACGATTTTCATGGCTTTTTCGTCTGTAATTTCATGTTTTACGATAGAACAATCACAAAGGAATGGCTGTTGGCCGTTGGCGGTTGGGTGTTTCAATACAATAATAATCGTGACTTTCTTCCAGCTTAGCTTTCTATCAAGCTGTTCCGTTTACAAACAGCAGCTTGAAAGAATCGAAAGAGCTTTAGGGAGCATAACTCCTGGTATGTGTTGGTCTGTGGAGTCACGAACGGCGCGCACGCACACTGTCCAAGAACAATCGATCGTAAATCAGCTTCGATAAAATTATAGGAGGGAACAATGGATGTCGCCGTCTCCATTGGATAACCAACCCTCTATCCACCGCTGAGAGTTCAATTTCACGAGTCACCTGCCCTCCCGAGGCTGTGCGTCTTCGAGATAGAGTCCACATTCGCACGTGTACAGACAAGAAATGTTTATTTTGAGAATGTCATGTCAGGCGATAGTGACATTTAATGCTGTGGCATTGAGGTGCTAATCGCGTGATAGTATAGCGGCTCTCGTAATTGCGAAATTCACGCTTCGCGGTGCGGTACAAAAATAAGATTATGGATTCCGCTGAGTTCGAGCGTTATTGTGATTCGAGGATCCGTCCATAGGTATGTCTGTGGACTTTACGACTGCTATTCCTGGAGGAATAAACCTCGGGCTTATTGAATATTGTATGCTTATTTATGGAAGACAGCTACCAGCTCCGGAAACACGCTAAGACGCTGTTGGGACGATGGCTTTGTTCGTACAATACACTCCTACATATGACAGTGTTTTGATTTGAAGGAAAAAAACAAACTATCACCTTAATAACACTCGTATATAGAAACCCGAAACTAATCAGTTGAATAAAGGATAAATGCGAGGGAATCGAATTTCGCGACAGGACGATATAGTTCGAGGATTTTTACGAGCGTCGTAAAGACGTGGCCAGATATTAAACGAGGCTGGCATTCTTTGTACGTAGAATGTTACAGAAAACCAATTCAGGAGCACATATATATACGTATCCTTATATATAAAAGAAAATGTCTTTGTTACATGAGCAAACAAAACATTATTACAGTAGACACAAAATAAATAAAAGATAAACGAAATAACATTGGAGAATTTTTTTTCACAAACAATATAAACATAAAATCTGCTATCGCGTTTCGAAATAGTTATTCATGTTCCAGTTTAATGACACGATAAAACCAGATATTGTATATCAATTCAATCATTTAAAACTAACATTATGTACACAGAGTAACAAAATTAATGCAAGTAAAGTTTAATACGGTCAGAAGTCACATTAATTAATATTGAATTAGGTTAAGCTGTGGACGAGGAGCTGGCCGGCCAGACAATTAATGTTTTAAAAACAAAAAAAAAATAGTATGTGATTTGAATTTGGAACGTCATTATTTTTTCTATCACAATTCTCAAATGTGGTTACATTAAAATGTTTAGTACAGTAGTTATATCTACGTCACATTGAGCAATAAATCGCATCGTAAAAGTAGATGATTGCTTCTATAGAGCCTTGTGCAATCTGTGTTTGGAAATGGCTTCTCGATAAATATAGATATGTTTTTTTTTTAAATAATGTCCCCAAAATCTAGTACATAATCATATCCGTAGAGGTGTATTGTTTAAATATTGTTGTTAATTATCTGTTACGTCACTAAAGGGAGAGTCGAATCGTATTTTCATTTAAGTATCACATAATGTAAATAAATAAGAAATTTCCTCTGTGCTCATCCAATGACAAGTGACAATGGAGGGGTCGTCCCTCCAAACGGCTGATCAACCGATTATGAACGCTACTGCAATACATTATGGTTAAGTTTACCGTCGTAGCGTGCGGAGGATGGCCCTCGCTATCTTGTCAGGCGGGGGAGGTGTCGACCAATGGCAGAGCGACCCGAGCGCATCACACTGTCTCTATCATTTATACCTACTGCGCATCTCCACCGACAATCGCATTTCCATTGGTGAGAGCACATCCAAAGTCCACATTCTTTCATCACCGATGATATAACGAGCGCTACTCACCTCTCAACGTCAGGCTGTTCAGCCGTTTAGCGACCGCCTTGGACCGCATCTCATCCGGATCGAGCGAGACACTGGCCGTTATGACAAATGTTTGCGAAAATTAAAAAAGTTCGTATTTCAAATTTGGAACGCCGGAGCGCGGGATCGGTGTGGGGGCGCAGTGTGCGGCCGGCGGGCGTCCTGCACGTACGCCGATCCAGCTGGGTGGTTGTATGCGGCGTGTCACGCGAGCGGTCGACGGGACACTGCGTTCACGTGCTCTATAGACCGCGGGGAAAGCGTTTTTCACGCGGGTGACGATAATGACCGCGCTGTCTCGACCAGCGGCCGCCCGGCGACTGTCACTGCAGTCTTGAACGTTTCAGTACAACACGAATACAAGCCACGCTCCTTATGACCACCTTTAGTAGCATTTTCTTTCACCTTGCGTGACACGTTTTATTGAAATTATTATTTAGCCAATGGGCTTCAAGACACAAACGATGTCTCCGTCGCATGAGGCTCGATATAAGTAAATACGTTCATTTGGAGCGTTTACATTATATAAAATACATTGAAGAATATATTAACTTAGTTTTGTTTAACATTAAAAGTATTTAAACATTTTGATTTCACACATACGTTACATAACTCGTATTAATTGAAGCCTTTTTGTTATAATAACTTATCAGTTTTTAACGCGAATTAAGACAGAAAGACTGAAACGCCGAATATAACAAAATTTTCATTTACGTACACAAATATATGAACAGTTTTCCTAATTTTTATCTGATGTTCCTAAGATAATTATATACATGTTTTTTAAATTTACATACCAAATAACACATTAAATATTTTAACACAAAGTCTATTATATATTAAAGAATTTAATCAAAAAAATTGCTCATGATACCGCTCCTCATTATCTTTTGAGGTCTGAATAACAAAAATTTGTTTTTAAAGAAACATGTACTTATTAGTAGGTAAATATTCCTGTAAATATTAATCCTCTACATCAGTACATAGAGTCAAGACTCTTCAGAGTCAATAAAGTAACATATAAATGTTATTATATTGACTCTGAAGAGTTCAATTGATTTTATTCTATAAAACCCCATACTTACGAACTATAACTGAAAAACTAGGTATAGAATCATCAAATATTGAATTCAAATGTGACAAAAACCAGTACTTTCATATCCACTATAATACCTACGTACTATCTTTTAAATACGTATAATGTAATACATCCAATACAATATAGTTTCATAATAATAAAAAATTATTAATATAAAAATATCCAACAGATTTACAAGCCTTCCACCCCCTTAAGGGTAGTAAATATGATTACCGGGGGTGTGGGAGGAGGGAGGGAGGCTACACGGGTAATATTCCACGATTTACATAAATATTAGCCGGTTCGTGACAAGCCGGTCATTAAGAATCCTTGGACATTTTTTAATGAACCTCAAGCTGATAAGAATAAGTCGCTTTGTCTTTTTTATGAATGATTAATGTATTATATTATGTATATTATGAAAAAAATATACATTTCTGTTCTGTTTTTTTAAGATAATTCCTGATATATGGATTTAATTTTAAAAATATTTAGTTTATAAATAGTGATTTTTAGTTCTTCTTGAAATTTATGTATGACGATTAATGATAAGTTTTATTTAGGTATATGCTAGCTTTTAGCCACGACTTTGATTGCCTTTGAGTTTCGATTTAAAGGCACCAAATAAACAGATTTTGGATTTTAGTAGATACTTTTTTGGTGGAACGAATTCAAAAGGATCATATGTCAGTCTCCTGGCTCTAAGCTATCTCTCCACCAATTTTCAACCATATTCCTACAGTTGTTCGTCAGTTATAAAAAGTGCAACTAACACAACTTTCTTTTATATATGTAGATAATAAAAATATATAGGTATAGTTATATATAAGATTTTAGACGATTTTTCTCTGTACCCGTACGTGTAGGTACGTCTTGCAATAAACTTAAGAAATTTGAATGTTGTATGAGTGATACGTCTTATACAAGACAAATATTAAAGATTATAATTACAAAAGACCAGATAAATAAACATAAAATATATTAATTTTTGTAAGGAATTCACTATTCATAAATTATGTTTAGATTTTTTCTTTAAACATGTATGAAACTCCTTTAGTTTTTAAACAGACCTAAAATAGATCCATTTAAATGAATACTCGAAAAGTCTTAGATCTCATTAATAATACATCCATATAAGAATATAAGAAAGAATCATATAATATATACAATAATTGTATAATCAAATGTTACAAATATTAAATCTTAACTAAATTCTATAACCGCCAACCCCAGTCTAATTAGACCGCAGAGCGTAAGGAAACAAAAATAAATAATTAATTATACGGAACCAGAAACGCAGACTTTACCCTTCCTATTTAAGGGGCCAGATGTTAACAGACTCCGAACAAACCTCAAATATCTTGTAAACCACCCACCGAGACAAACACACACAGGTGAAACTACCACATACATATACATCCAAGCGAATATACACCCAAATACAACACACTAAGATAGAATATCCCATGAAAAACTAAACCTTTTTGTCTCTATTGACTGTAGAAACTGTTTCTTCCTTATATTATATCGCGAGATTCGTTTCAGATGTCGCTACATCCTATCATAAATTCACTATCACTGTAAACTCAACCGTATCTGTACTCTATAAGGTTTTATTTCGATTGTACTAATCTATTATGAAGCTGTTCTGGTTTCCAGCGTCGTGTGATATGATATGAGACAGAGAGGGACAGTGGCGCAGGCTGCTCGGCAGACGTCGCGGTTGCCATGGCAACGCATCGATCGACCCCTGATGCAGCCTGTATCGAGGTCACTCAAGAATGTTATAATTAATTTCCTTTATGCATGTCAGCTATAGAAACTAATGAGGAAAAAATATATACAAGATTTCTTCTGGATTAACTTTTGGGATATTTTAATTGGAGTGAAATTAAGAAAATAAGGAATAATGTGATAATATTTGTTTTATATTAAATAGTTTAGAAAACTTACAGATATTTGAAGTATAAAAAGAATTTATATAAGGTAGACGATCAATTGAGCTCACAGAGTCTATCTAAGAGGATGCTGTAAGCCTGTAACAGATGAAAATATGAAAACAGACGAAAGAAATTCAACAGTTTTTGTTATAATTTATAAAATAAATAATATTTGTTTAGAAAACACTAACTGCATTAAATACTATTTAGTTCATAATTAATTAGCTATATTGATAAACGTTTATTTTTAACTAGAAGACGCGGCGATCTTCGTATCGCCCTATAATCAAGAAATATCTATTACGTTTTTTTATTTATATTTTTGGAGTTTACCTGTAAGCTATAAAAATCTCGTTTTTTGAAGTGCGACACAATGATTGACATAGGTATTAGTTAGTTGTCAAATCTAATGTCAAAAAAACGTTTGTATGGGAAATATAAAAGGGCAGTTTTATGGTTATCCCAGTAATGAATCAATTTTTTTCAGCTTTTATACCTTCCCTGAACCTCCACGAACATTTCAAGACTAAGATAAGATAAATCCGTTCAGCTGTTCTCTAGTTTTAGCGAGACTAAGGAACAGCAATCCATTTTTATATATATAGAAAATAGAAGATAAGTTTTAAATTACTATATTCTTTTATCACAAACTCCTGGTGGCTGGTAAGGATGTTAACGTTTAATAAGATCGAAACTGAAATCAAAATTCACTCATATAATTAAGTAACGAAAATAATATTATAAGTAATATAGTAAAAATGATAAAAAATCGATTTTTATTGTACAAGTAAACTCTTGAATGATTATAATTTTGGACGTCTTTAAAACTGCGACAAAAAAACCAAAACAACATTTATGTACCTATAGATACATATATATAATAGATTTTACAACTCTTCCTTTGTTTTAATGTTATAGATATTATTTATTGATTAAAAAATACAATAGGTACGTATAATTTTCACAACCTGAATAATAATTTTTGTTAAACCTCTCTTCAGGACATTTGACTTTTCATGACACTTACATATTTAAACTCCTTTTCGTTATTCGCAAAATTTAACTCGTAAATATTATAATATTAAATATCAGCACAAACAATATTTATAAACATTACTTTCATTCAAAATACGAAATACCTACCACAATTGGATTCCTTATTACCTACCTACTGAGTTTTTCAAATTGAATTATTTCCGTTCGCTTTACATACAAAGGTTTATATAAATAAAGGTATATTTATACATACAAAGGAGTAACCATTATTAAATTGGCATTTAAAGTATACCTAACTTTGATCTCATAACGAAATGTCGACCCAATTCTTATCTCAAAGACACGGCAGGTCGTGAGTATCAAAGGCAAGACTCTGGACCAAATAGGGGCACTTGAAAAACATGGCCGCCCTTACGGCAGCTTTGACGACTACGAAATGAGGGCAATTTGAAAAAAAATGTACGAAAATGTAACCACGGCTGTAATGACATGCTTTATAATAAAATAATCAGCAGTTTACTTGAAACATGATAAAAAAAAAACAACACTTTATTAGTAAATTAACTTCCAAACTGTTTTTATTTCTAATTATATATATATAGTTCGGGAATATCAAAAATATAGGCAAACTGATTTCGATCACATATAATTAAAATATTAATTGTATTCAATATAAAAAAAGAGATTTAAGATTTATCAGATACCTACCAATGATAAAAAGGAATTACAAAATTTTAATTAACTCCGTATTTTAAATCCATTAAATAAAATTGTTTACATAAGCACATTTTATATAATATTTGTATGTATGAGTAACGTAAATAACAAATTTGAAATAGAAAATATAACAATAGCCATATTATTTTTTTGTCGAGCTTCAAAGCAAATGTATGTTATAAACATTTATTGCGGATTCTTTATCAAGAATCCTTTATTAGGTTTATATGAATCGAATCTAAAGAACACTCGAAAATAACAATTTATATTTCTCTATAAGTATTTATATGGCTTAGGAAATACGAATTTTAAATTGTATAATATTTATATACATATAATTCATATGTATTATGTATTCAAATTAAGTTTTTGATTAACAAATTTCAATTAAAAAATTGTCATATAGAATAATATGATTCGACCTATTAATTAAATTATGTCAAATTAATATCGTGATATATTATGTACACGTCAAATAGCCAAATTCATAGGAGTCAATATCATTATCAGCTGGATATTGAAATGTAAAATATTCAAACAGATGTCCCCAAAAGAAGCTTGTTGCGTGACTAAATATTTCCTCAGTATTTATATTGATTTAGTGTGAAATTGAGCATATTGAGCATCTCATGAATTATGGTTTTAAGT